CGAGCAGATAGGCAGATTAGTTCAGGCGCAGACAGAGCAAGGTGAAAACGTCTTCATTCAATTCCCTACAGTTATAACACTATCGAAGAAAGAAATCGATTGTAAGAGTGAGAAAATCTATTCCAGTTTGAGATTAATATCTGTGTAAAACTTGGGCACTGTGGTAGTTAGTAATTCCGCATTAGTCTGTTTATTAGATGTATCACACAGTCATCAGTGAAACAGTATTAGTATTGACTGGATGACGACGCCTTTCGAACAAAATTTATCGCTGTGCATAATCATATCAATTGTAATCACACGAAACTTGAGTTTTATAGTTTTCTTTGTGTTCTCTCCTATTTGTCGTCATCGGAATAGTAGAATTTCCATATATCTGGGTGGACAGGTGTTGAATCATTCCTATTACACGTATTTACTCTCAGTTGATTTGATAGACAAAGCTTCTGTTATCAATGTCTGTCTCCCTCCACCCAGTGACATTAGATTTAGAAAAACTGTCATCCTATCCCATCCATCCTATTGTATGGTTGTGTTTAATTGCGTGTGCTATTACATGAGTGCTATAGCTGAACTCTTCTCTAAATTTCTTATCTTATTTGGGTCAACCAATCTAGATTTTGCTAGGTTTTTATGTTCAGCTAGTCTGATCGACTGACCCTGTTCTACTAGTTTGACCTATGTATTTGACCTGACAATCATTGCAGGCAGGGTATTAGATAAACTAAATTGTTTTGTTTTAAAGGCTCCACAGGATTGATCCTTTAACCGACAAAGCTTGTTTCTAATTGAGTTTATGGTTGGTTTGAACGCCAGCCACTTTTATTACTGCCTTGTTAAGAATTCTGCGTAAGGTGGTTTCGAAGGTTCCTTCCTTGTATGGAATTACTACTGATGATTTAGATTCCTTATTGTAGGCGTTGTCTTGCGCACATTTGACTCGCATGTTGATCGAATTAATTGCAAATACATGTAATAGGAATGACTCAACACCTGTTCCAGATATCTGGAAAATTCTACTACCCCGAAGACGACAAATAGGAGAAGACAAAGAAAACTATAAACCTCAAGTTTCGAAGTCGTGTGATTGTAATTGATGAAAAGATTATGAACGGCAATAAATTTTTTTTCGAAAGGCGTCGTCATCCAGTAAATAATACTGTTTCAGTGTCTGTGTGATACATCTAACAAACAAACTAATGTCGAGTTACATTTCAAGATGTTTGTAGCAGTAAACGAAGAAATCAATTGTGAAACTGCACAAAAATATCTGTGTATTGTTTTAGAGTCATTGAAATATGTCCTTACTTGGTGTTTACTCTGTCAGTACTCACCCATCATGGTGGAGCATTACAGTACCAACGTATTTTTATGAACCATAAACATTGGCTCTGTTAAAAAGAAAACAATGGGCTGATCACTTTAAAGGAATTTTGAATAGACCATCACCTGCAACTCGTCCATAAATACAACCAATGCCAACAGCACGCACAGAACTGCCAGCGGATACCAGTCCCCTAAACAAAAGCAGAAATCTCGAATTTTCTGAAGCCATTGTTGTAAAAGGTTTTAAGGAAAGAAAGATTCTCGCTGATTGGAAGAAAGTCTGGCTAACTTGTCAAAGTACCAAAGAAGGATGACTTAGCCATCTGCAAAATATGATGCGGAATCATTCTATTAGTTCACGCCAAGTAAAATACTAAGTCGCGTTATCCCGGAGAAAATAGTAGATTCGCTGGACATAGAACTCTACCTGCAGGAAAAAAGCTGGATCCAAGAAAGGCAAACCATGTGTGAATCAAATTGCAGCTATAAGTATCACCATCGAATAGGGCATACAGTCGCAGTCAACTCTATCTCGACTTTGATTCCATCAACTTCGAAATGGCCTTTGACAGACGGCGTTGACCAAAAAGTAATTTTGGGATTACTTCAGCACTATGGAGGGCTTTAAATCTTTGTCAACCTTGTTCAGCATAATATTTCCTTCACGTTCCCAGTGAAACATAGGGCTTCAACCTAGTGGCTTGAAGTTTCTGTAGCAGTGTTTATTTTACAGGATGGGGTTGCTGGCCTCATGCCCAACCCTTCCTCTTTACCAGCATTATTTCTGGCTTAGCGAGGTAAAAGATTGCGTCGGTGACAGGGGATCGAACCCCGGACCATGTACATGCTTGGCGAGCGTCTTAAACGCTGTGCCACCGACGCACAACCTTATTCAACAGCTATATGACAATGCCAGATGTCAAGTGATCCACATTGGGAAACTAATTGAAACCTTCTATTGGAGTGAATACAAAAGTGAGGCAAGCCTGCTTGCCTACTATCACCCACAATGAAATTCCTAACTGTAGTAGACACGACTAGGCTGGAGACTGTAAGGAAGCAGAGGACAGGAATAAGTTGGAGTGACCGATAAGAAGACTTCACTGACAGCTGGAGTCCCGCATCCAGTGAATCTTTTATTTTCTCCAGGATGACGCGACTTAATAGTTTACTTGCCGTGGACAGCAGAATGATTCGCCGTCAGTTCTTACAGAGGGCTAAGTTGCCCTTCTCTGGTAGTTTGACAAGGTAGCTGGACTTTCTTGCACTCAGTGGGTAAGTTTTCTTTCTTCTTCCCAACGTTTTACACTAAAAATGTGGGCAAATGCAGTAAGGTTATTGGATCAGTTTTCAGTTTTGCCTTTTCAAACTTCAGTAGATTGATTGCGATAATATCAAAGTGCAGAGTTCGCATTCATTTGATCACTACCCTACCAGCATCTGTTCAACTGCAAGTGGAACATATGAAGGTACCAAAGCCAGCAAGTTTCGGATTGGAGAATCAAAACAGGCATTTATTACTCTAAAATTCGAATTGAGGTCTGCAGCACTCAGTTCAAGAAACCACATTCGAATTTTGTGACAGCAGTGTCAAATTGCAGGTTCAGTGACTTGGGATTTCCAAAAGGTCATTGGAGACTTTTACCAACACTTCTCTTGATAACGATCATCTGATGACCGGGTGAGAAGGTTAGACAAGCAACAAGGAACTCTGGCAGTCAATGAAGGAGGATACTGAGGTTAGCTGTGCATACTCTGAGGAGGGATACTTAGCTGACATAACACATCAAGCCCTTCGGTGTAGATAAAATGGGAAGTGAGGTATTCAGCGTGGGTACAAAGACCACATGAGAATATGTTAGTGTTTAGAGGAAATTAGAACTTGTGGGCAGTCACAGAACCTGTTTAGAATAAACAGTAAGGTTCTTTGACCGAAATAATGAAGAAACAAACCTGTTCGGTGCCTCTTCAGTAGAATAAAGCGAATATGCACCGAAGACACACTTGACACAAAGTCTGATTGGTAACAATTATCTAGAAAAGTTCATTGGGAGATGTAAAGTAGTCAGTGGAACACCAAGACCTACTCTCCAACTTGCCCCTAAGAAGGACGGGTACATCAAGCTATCCTATATAGGGAATCATAGCAGCTTGGTAACTAGACAAATGTTGAACGCTGCTGTTAAAAAGACTTTTTATGCAGCTACGATTAAAATAATTGAGAATGTTTGACTGATATGCCCATCCATCTAAGCCCGCATCCATGCGAAAGATGATGTCACATGCCCCACTGTATTTACCAATTTGAATGTACGCGTGGCCACACATACATATGACGGACTCATCGACCTCTGAAAGGAAGGGCTTCAGAGCATATTCCTAAATTGCTCCAGAAATTAACTGAAACTCGGGAACCCAGTAATGGTGGGAACAGACGGTCTAGCTCCTCAGTCATGAACATATTATAGAGACGAGACTACAAATCGATGTTTACATCTCTTTTAAACCTATCTATAAAAGGTGTTTGGGGTGCATCATAAAGACTGTGGAAACCCTAGCTGGCAATTAGGAAGTTTGAACCACCTTTATGCGTTCAAAGCAACAACTAGTCATGACACTGAACCTTCATTGGTGAACTTTGTTTTGATCCATACCACAGGGGATATGTGCGTCGGTGGCATAGCGGTTCGGACTCTCGCCGACCATGCACATGGTCCGAGGTTCGATCCCCCGCCGATGCACACCTGATATCTATGGTCGGCCTGCAAAATTTGGACTACCGATATCACATGCTGAAAATTCCATACCTGTACCAAAAAAAAAATACAGTGTGGAATCAAGCTGTAATCAAAAATAAAAAAATGAAAAAAAATGATCAGATTGTTCAAAATGTGTTGTGCGAATACACATTACATGATTGAGACAAATCACGTCTTCTTATTGCTGTTTAAATTCATAAAGGGAACTAATTGTTTAAACCAACAATTAAAAAGATTGGTTTGGGTATTTCTGTGTCCTAAATAACGACAAACAGATCGAAGATCTTTCACTTTGCAGCGTACATCTCTCCTACAGCATTCCTGGATGATTTACTAAAATCCATACATCTAGGCACACTATCCATACGTGGATTTTTAAAATAAATATTATGAAATCGATTATTTCTAACGATGATTGATAATGCCCTACAAATGATTGATATTCCACGTGTGATGCAATCATCCTAAACTGTCATTATCCTCTCACCATTATTATTATTCGTGTGTTTGTCATTCTAATTATTTAAAATTTGACTACACTTTTTCTGCTGTTATCATTTGTGAATGTGATTGGTGATTTAAGAAAAATTGATTAGAAATCTTATTGGTTAATACTGCTTGTAATCAATCGACTTGTTTTCAACCCATTGATTTTTACTGAAATCAACCAATAAGAATTTTTTAATGCGTAGGTGTTGTCGGTCAATCTACTATGAAGCATGCATGCGCAAAGTAGACTTTTTTCTTTCTCCTGCTGATTTACACGTGGTAATATTACAGTAGACAATTGATCATCTTGCGCTCCCAAGTACACTCACTTTTAATATTTGGCGTGGCTTTTGTAAGCCAGGATAATTTTATTACATTCATTCGCATCCTATCCTCTCATCAGTGGAGTGCATTCTACCCTTAAAAATGGCGGAATTTCGCAAATGTTTTGATAATCTGGACACGGAGAAACGTGGAGTGATTACTATTGATGATTTGAGAAATTATATGCTTAAAATGCACTATAAAGAGACATTTTTACAAAAATGGATTGAATTGTTCGATCCTGAGCATACTGGACTTATTACATATGAACAGTATTGTAAGACACTTGGTCTGATACCAAGGAAACGAACGACGAGTAAAACTATGCCGACTGATTCATCTCAACCATCGATTTCATCGAATTCTACGTCTCCTCAATCGGTTGAATCATCCAAGGAAGCAAATGGGGACAATACTGCTGCTTCAAAACAAGGGTAAGTAAACAATACTCATTATTATTGATATCAATGATTGATATTCATTTAATGAGGTTAAAGTTACACTATAACATCCTAAATTAAAGAGCATGTGTGTCAGGTTCCCTCCTGCCTAGCTAGTTGATCGATGAGAGACCAGCTATGCTTTCATGTTGGTGAAGGCAAATAATAGAGACCCAGGCTAGTGGGCCCATGAATGATCTTGGGAGGCTTCCCCACGAAAAAAAACAGGGTTATCTTTCTTTAAAGTATGTTCCAGAATAACTCTTAGTTTCTGCAGAGAGTGGAAGGGGAGGTTGTCTGTCTGTCTGGATTCAACATAGAACTTGGCACCGAAGTGCACCAGTTCGAGTTGCCACCTTCCAAATAGCACACAGAGGTAGACAAGAAGATGAGTGAAGAGAATCAATGCAGTTTGACAAGTATAAGAGTGAAACAGAATGGGTAATGGTAGAAAGGAATATGAAAGATTACAGAGACTGAATACATCTGCGCCATTGACAACGATTTTGAGCCATGTCACCTATTGTCTCCAGCCATTGATTCCTAGAGTCCCGAGGGCCCCAACCCGGAAGTCTGCATCTCCCTACCTGACTCAGTTTAACTGTCAAGGATTTCATGGATTGATGCCATGTTTTTGTTTGGCCACCACTGGCTCTTTTCCAACCTGAACCTATATCAGCTAGCAATGCCCGTCGGGGGAGGCGGTGGTTAGGCATGCGCACCACGTGACCTAGCCATCTTAGTCTATGTAACTTTATAGCCTCGTCGATTGATTTTCCCTCTTTGCCCAACACTCTACGCCTAACGTCAACATTACTTATCTTGTGAAACCACCTAACGTGAGACAGAGATCGCAGACATCTATGATCGAAAGCAGTCAACCTTTTCATGTCTTCAACGCGTATTGGCCATGTTTCAGAGCCATAGAGAAGGACGGAGCGAACTGATGAGCAGTACACACGTCCCTTGGTTGATAACCGGATGTCACGCCTACGCCAGAGATGGTGTAAGTCAGCGAAAGCAGCTCGAGCTTTTCGGATCCGTGCTGAGATTTCATCGCCAATCAGTCCGTTGGTGCTAATACAACTTCCCAAGTAGGTGAAGTGGTCAACATGTTCTATCACTTCACTCCCTATCACTAAGTTAGGGGTTGACGTGGTCCAGTCCTGTAGCAGCATCTTACATTTTGCAGGGGCGAATCGCATGCCAAACATACGAAGATTGCTGCTCAAGGTGTTCAGAAGACTCTGCATTTTTTCAGCATCCTCCCCTAACAGGACTATGTCATCTGCATATTCTAAGTCCATTAGATTATTCCCTGGTAACAAGTCGATTCCTAAGTCACTACGTTCAGTTAAGGATACTTCCATTAGCATATCTATGATGAAGTTAAACAGAAATGGGGAAAGTGGACATCCCTGTCGGACACCACTGGTTGTTACCAATTCAGATGACAATTCCCCATAAGCCCTTACACGACTACGTGAGTTTGAATAGAGTGCCTTGATTAGTGCAATGTACTTTCTTGGCACTCCCTTCACAGTCAGACATTGCCATAGTACCTTTCGATCCACGGAGTCGAAGGCCGCCTTCAAGTCAAGAAATATGACAATTGTTGGACGCCGAAAAGTGTGTCTATGTTCTAGAATCTGTCGAAGAGTGAAGATATGATCTATGCACCCTCTACCTGGTCTAAAGCCTGCTTGATTTTCCCTTGTCTGTTCCTCCCGAGTTCTGCTTAGTCTATGCATGATTACTGAGCCTAGGATTTTAGAGACTATGTTCGTTAGGCTGATCCCCCTATGATTATCACACGAGGACTTGTTTCCCTTCTTGAATATCGGTATAATAAGTGACTTACCCCAGTCTGATGGTACTGTCTCTGATTCCCAGACTTTGCCTAGTACCTCAGTTAATCTACAAACTAGTATGTCACCCCCATATTTAAACACCTCCGGAATAATTCCGTCGGGTCCTGCCGCTTTGCCTCGTTTCAAATTACTGATAGCTTTTGTAACCTCACCTACAGACGGCGGACCAGTGTCTATATCCCATTCGGGTACGTGGTGGATGTCGGGGAGGTTCAGTGTGGCTGTAGGCAAGTTAAATTGTTCCTCAAAGTGTTCTTTCCAGCGTTCAAGGCGTCTATCCTGAGAGCTAATTAAGGAGCCATTTTTCTCAGAAATAGTCTCACTTATGAATTGCCTTCTCCTGCCCGATTCTGTGATGAGTCTAAAGAGTTGCCTAGGGGAGGTTGTAGGTGTTCATCTAAATAGTTGCTGCCTAGATTCAGAATTTAAACTGACCCACTCTAAATGTCGTATTGTTCGGTTGGATCACTATCTGGTGAAGATAAGCTATAGCAGCCACCAAACAATATTGAGCGGAAAATTAGGTCAGCAATTGTGAATGCGTAGCAAGTTTTGCTTAAAGAGCTTTGTGATGATAAGGTTCATTTACTTTTGGCCAGGTTAAAAGAAAAACACCACTACAGGGTTGCTAACGTACCAGTAGCCTTGGACGTATATTATTCGTTGGATAAAGCGACTTATCATTGTTACAGCGTTGCAATGAATGCTGTGCACAAATTAAGGCACGAATTTTGTCACAGCTTCGTCTTTAAGTACTGTTTGGATCGGGTGTTGATAGGTGGCTAGGGTTACGTTGGGCGTTTGGGGCGGGGGCAAGAGTGAGGAATATATACCACAGTCAAATGACCCCGAACCAACTAGTCAGGGTGAAGTTAAGCAATAGTGTCCCAAGAAATGGGAACTCTGATGACCTAGAACGCATGCTAGTCGTTCTCTATTTTTTTATTTTTGATTACAGCTTGATTCCACACCGTATTTTTGGGACGAGTATGGAATTTTCAGCGTGGATATCGGTGGCCCGAAATTCGCAGGCCGACCATAGATATCAGGTGTCGGTCGGCGTGGGCTCGAACCCCGGACCATGCGCTCTAGAGTTACTTGTCATTACTACAGCACAAATATGAACGCTTTTCACCAACTAAGGAGAGAATTTCACCCAGATCACATTTTTAAGTACTGTTCAGATGTGTTAACAGCTCTCTCTACGGTTAGAATTAGGGTTAAAGTAGGTATTAGGATTAGGGTCAGGATCGGGGTTATGGTTAGTGTTAAGTTTAGGGTTACTATAAGGGATAGATTTTGATTTAGCATTATTTATTTTAATTTGTTTTGTCATTCACATTTTGTCAGTAAGTAGTCGCCATAATAATTCAACCGACGGCTTTTAGGAAAGACTGCAAGAGGATGAGAGGGATAAACTGGTTGCAAAACAAGCTCACCTCAAGTTACCTCGGTGAATACATGTGCAGAAAATGGTCTAACTTAGCAACTGATTCTCCTCATCATAAATGGGACTTAATTTCGAGTCATGTCATGTATTTTTCTAGTAAATAAACGTCATTTTTTGTGTAGAATTCACTCATTTTTATGGTTGGTTGGCTCAAGGTCACTAGTGCGTCTACATCCCTAGGGACGCTATTGTTTACCTTTGCCCTAGTCAGATCGTTCAGCATTACAAATGGATGCTTTCCGTAACCTTTGTTGCAAGTTTCACCCTGACTTAGGGTTAGGCTAGGTTTAAGATGGGATTATGATGAAGCTTTGGGTGAAACGTGCAACGAGGTTTAGAGTTAGAATGAAGTTTGCAACGAAGGTAATGGGCAATATTCATTTGAAATGCTGGGCAGTGTCACTATCATCATTAGATGATATTCATCAAAAAATCAATCACTCATCGGGATTAGTGGATCCTAAAACTGTTAGTCATACAGATTTTGGTTTTCAAGTATTGGTTTTGTAAGAATTTTGTTTGGTTGGTTGGAAGAATTTCATCATGATCTGTCATTAGTTAGAGAACCATTGGAAAGCCAGCTGGGAGTACTGGACAGTTAGCACCCATGGTCGTTTCGATCGAGTCCCAGTGACTTATGAATGGTCTACAAGCTCACCTTGTAACCAGAAGATCCTGGGTTCTAACAGTGGTGGTAGGTGCGTGCTGATGGAGAGTCCCAAGCTAGATTGATGAGGCAGCTGTCCAGTACTCCCTGGCAGGTTTTCCAATGGTTCTCTAACTGATGTCAGCTCAAGATTCTGGTTTACTACAGTCACTCCTATGGAAGACTGAGACCTGTCTCTGCAACATATTAACGACGCTTATCCTATATAATTCGTTTCTGTTATACATATATCCAGTAAACACACCATTTCACACTATTAATGCCACTTCTTACCTGGAAGCAAGTAATTGGCTGGTTCAAGGTCACTTGAGTGTCGTTTCTGTTCTGTACTATTTCCACATAATAATAATAAAACATTCAAGTGTTGGTTTTGTTATGTACTCGTCGCTAAATTATTGTTATGGACTGGTCGAGAAACTAATAGTCCTGACGCGAGAAGGCGGAAATCAGAAGACCACTAGGTTTGCGATGATACTTCTATTGTCCAAACACAAGGAGACGAAAATAAATGGTCTCACACCAAAGTGGTAAGTAAGTAAAGTAAAGTAGTTCACACAAATTGTGAATGCGAATATATATAAATAATTCAGACAAAGCGTGGGAAAAATCATTAGACAGTCTTAACATGAATGGCTAATTATAATGGAGTGTCGATCCAATTATACATAGCGAATATAGCAGACATGTCAACAAACATATATGGATATATGTCACCAAGCAACGGACTGTCAACAAACACTCATATTATATATAATATAATATAAGGAGAGTACACATTATTAAAGGAGACAAGTCCATACAAGTGAAGTGGTCACAGACTAACCGAGCAAACAGAAAGAAAGACCAACATACACACACACATAAATATATATGTGGATACATATCAGGTTTGTAGGGATTTGATTAGTTACGGGATTTTATCATGATCTGACATTAGTTAGAGAACTATTGGGAAACCTGGGAGTACTGGACAGCTGTTTCACCCTAGTTTGGGACTCTTCAACAG